TTACATGTTTTCAAACTGCTAGGTTGGCAGAAGCTGGGGCAGGTAATAGAAGCTAACTCCATTATGCAGTGCTAGGCATTCAAACTGCTGAACTGCCGACCTTCTCCATAGTGGTGGAGATATCATCCAGACTGGGTTGACATCATCCGCTCACTGATAGACTGAGTCTGATGACAATTATTGTTAAGCCACACCCCTGTTGCTAGGCAACCTCTGCTTTTTGACTCAGTCCCTCAGTGAGGACAGATGCATCACCAGTGGCTCCACAACTAACTTTTAAATTTGAGATAAGTAGGATATTGGTTTAAAATCAGATTGTGTGTGAATTTGTATTGGGAAGCCCTGTATAGAGGCTGTTAATTTATGCCTTCAGCCCCTTAGGATGTGATCCATGTAATAAATACACCTCATAGTCCCAGCCAAATTGTGATAATATAACACAAGTAGCCAGCTCAAACTTTTACAACCTAGACTTCTTAGTACTCAAATAGGTTTGGTAGTTCACAAGGATCAACACAGAATGAGAGAGAAGCGAAAGAAACAATAAATCAGTTTGTTCTTAACCTTAGTTGATCTTGAAATGTTGAGCAGGATGAATCTCATTTAGAGAATTACTCCTTGAATGGAGTAATTCTAGAGTAAGAAATTTGAAAGAAATGTTTCAGGAAAAGGTGATGGCAAACCACTTTTATATTGTTGCCAGGAAAAAAAAGAGATGGACATTTCCATGCCATTAGAAGTTGAATTTCAGTTGAAGAAAGTTTTACAGGAGAGAGTTGTAAAGCTATTTCATCTGATATCCCACCTTCTTCTCTGTTCATCTGGAATTGTTTATCCAATTCTCAAAGATTTGGTGTTATTTTGTGTGCATATTTTTTAAAAAAAGATTGTTCATAATTTGTTTCCTTTTGGTTGAGGGAGAAGCTCATATCCCTGATGTGGTCTGTACTTGTTTATTTCTACAGAGATTAAAGAAGCTACTTGGGCTTTAAAAATAATACCTATTTTAATAGTATTGAGCATTTTTATTGTTGACTTGTATTAAAACTGTCATAACACCTTTATGCCTCACAAAGATTCATAAAACTCCTCTTGTTTTCCTCTCTTATTTAAAAAAAAATATGTACCTCTATCAGGGTGTGTTTATCTATACATATTTACTATATATTCTTCTGTGATTGAATTTATATGTATCAGATATTCATTTTGTCATCATTGAATGAGTCAGTGGTGATAGAACACAATCTGATTGGTATAAAATTGCAGTTAATCCCTGCCATCTCTCTTGAAAGATATCAAATAGGAAAGGGGAGGTAGGAATTACGTAATTGAAATCATTTTGAGATGGTGACTGAGTCAAAGGTTGCACTACATCATCATTTTTTGCAACATTTCAATAATCTGCCTACAATTATATGGATGACTGCAGTGCACTGAGCTATCGTGGTTTGTTTGCAACACACCCAAGACATCTCAGTTTTGTAAATAGTATATTAAGCCAAAAATGAGTCATGTTGTCCTCAGTATAATGAGATTTAGGACCACAATTGAACCCAAAATGTATGTTGCTAACTGTGACATTTCAGTGGCTATTGCCCCATTTCTTGCCACAATTGTTGTGAATCACTGAAGTTGTTAAATTGATAGCACGGTTGTTAAGTGGATCTGGTTTCCCCTTGATTTTGCATGTCAAAAGGTTGCAAAAGTTGATCACATGACCCCAGGACCCCAGAAATATGACGCTCAGTTGCCAATTGTCTGAATTTTGATCACATGACCATGGGGATGTTGTAATGGTCATAAGTAGAGAAAACGATCATAAATCACTTTTAAAAAAAGTTTGTGAGTATACATTCACAAATGTACATTCTCATAAATAATGTTAATATTTACGTGTTATCTTTTAACCTTTATCACAATTGATTTAAAAATTTCAAAATACAATCGGGGTTACTCTCCCGCCACCCCTTACATCCATCTTATTTTACAACAACCCTACCTTTTCTTCCTCCTTTCCTCCTAACCTCCCTTCTCTCCCTTCTTCTCTCCCCCTCCCCTTTGTCTTTCCTTCTTCCCCTCCCTCTCCCACACTCCTCCTCTTTTCTTCCCCTTCCTACCCTCTCTCCATAAGTCACTTTTTTCAGTGCCATTTGTAATGGTCATTAAGTGAGCTATTGTAAGTGGAGGACTCCCTTGTACTCTTATGGATATATGTATGCATTGTGAAGATTGATCATCTGAAATAGACAACTGTAGAAAGCAGCATCAGACTCCAAAGAGTAATATGCAAATTTATAGGGGGGGGGACTTTTAATTCACAACCCACCCCATATAACAATCTTAAGTTCCTTTGCTGGAGACATGGACTAGAACCCAAACATATTGCTACAGATACACATAATAGGTACATTTTTTTTAAAAAAAAGTCTACATCTCCACACTAGCAGTAGTGAAAACTCATCCTATGTTCTTTGTCTATTGTTCATTGTAGGCCCACATAATTATGAACCTAATTATCTTTAACTTTGACATGAGAAAATAATTTTGAATCCTAACAATGGCTTTACATCCTCATACATATTTTATGATACTTAAGAAATTACATCCTAGGAGATAAAATTAGTGCATTTAATGACTTTAAAAAAAATGGGGAAAGTGGCATAGATTTTGAAACATTCTTAAAGATGGCTTTATTATTTTTATTATAATTAGTTTATTATTATTTTTTTAAAAATCACATAGGAGTTTCAAATTGCTGGCTTCATAGTGCATTTAATTTCCGTGCCACATGTATTATTGATTTTAACAGGAGAAAATAATTACTGTCTTAGTGAATTACTAACATTAAGGAGGAAATGAATTGATAGATTAACTTGTGTTTAGACCTCCAGCAGCAAATGTGAAGATTGATTTAAAAAAACAAAGAAAGATATAAAAGAAAAGCTTGGTTTTCTTTCTGCTATGATCTGATATCTCACATTTCAGATGCCTCTTTGTGAGTAAACAAGATAAATATGTTTAAATTTAATAAACCTCTGCAGAATTATCATGAAGTACATTGAAGAATTTAGCAAGATCTTCAACCAGGGGTCAACAGTGTGAAGCCCTCCCACCTCTCTCATCTATGTATCCATATGATCACACATCTTCTATCTGTCTGTCTATCATACATCTGTCCTTATGATTATCTATCATCTATCTATCTATTTATCTATCTATCTATCTATCTATCTATCTATCTATCTATCTATCTATCTATCTATCTATCTATCTATCATCTGTCTGTCTATCATCCATGTGTCCATATGATCACACATCTTCTGTCTGTCTGTCTGTCTGTCTGTCTGTCTGTCTGTCTGTCTGTCTGTCTGTCTGTCGACCGACCGACCGACCTACCTACCTACCTACCTACCTACCTACCTACCTATCCAATGAGGAAAGAAAAGCTATTTCATCAAGAGGGGATAGCTAGACTTTTAATATCTCCACATATTTCTAATGCTCAGTCAGTATTTTGGAATGATTAAATAGAAGTGGATGTCATTCATTGGTGATGCAATGAGAGCTAGCCATATTTAGTATTTCTGTTTGTGTCTGCATCATTGTGAGAACGAGAGGAGAGTCAATGGTGGGGAAACATAACAAAACCATCCTCCTATATAGTAACATAAGCTGCTGTGAAATCTACAGTGTGCTGCTAGAAATCAAAAGACCGATTTTGCAGAGATGAGTAAATCCTCAAGCTGCGGAAAGTACTTGAAAAGTGATTAATCATGATTCCAATGAAAATACATAATATCCAGAGAATAGAGAGTAACTTACTATTCAGGCAGCATACTCACAAAGAATCCTATCTTAGTTGATTTTCACAGTTTGGCGGTTCATCAGAAATAAAGCTTTTATCTTTCCTTGTTATTCTAAATACCATCATTAGATTAAATAACCCTTTGCCAGGACTGCAAATTACGCAAAACGAATAAGATCAAATTTGGATGGCCTCAGAAGCATATAAACCTGTCCCCCAAAAATTGAAAATCAAAACTTGTCCACATCAATCAATCGGAATAGAGCTGCAGGGGACTAGAGCAGGGCTGGGTTGCATTACTGCAATTACAATTTTGCCTGCACACACTCACTTCACTTGCCTGTGTGTGCACATTTACACATAAATAGGTCTGCACATGTGCAAAACGTTTAAAAAAGTTACAAAATTAAATTTGTGCAATGAAAATTGTTCTGCACATGCGCAGAACAAAAAAACAAGATGGTGCCACCGATAATGCCTCCAGGAGAAATGGTTCGGGGGCATGGCTGGCCTGGGTCACTGTCGGTTCCAGCAACCCAGGCTGCCAAACCACTACAGGTTTGGCCAAAACAGTCCAAACTGGTAGAAACCCACCACTGGACCAGTGGTCTTCTAGTCCAATCCCCCTGATCAAGCAGGAGACCCTGTACCATTTCAAATAGTTAGCTGTCCAGTCTCTCCTTAAAATCTTCCAGTGATGAAGCACCCACCACTTCTGAAGGCAAGCTGCTGCACTGGTTAATTGTCCTCACTTTTAGGAAGTTTCTCTTTAGTTCCAGCTTGCTACTCTCCTTGATTAGTTTTCACCCATTGCTTTTTGAAACTTGACCCCCTTTTCTTTGGGGCAGCCCCTCAAATACTGGGAGACTGCTATCATAAATGTCTGAGTAACAAAGTTATTAATGAGCACTACTTTCTTATCGTGTTATAGATCCATTAGAGGTGTTTTGAAATTTTGCTTATCTCTGAGGGCTAACAGAAGACACGGCTGGAAGAACAGTTGGTTGGACTAAACAGAATGATTTACACCTTTACAGAAACATATGTACGATTTTCAGCAGGCATGCAAATTTTGTCAGTTGTGTATTTTAAGACTTCAATAGATCTTGGATGAAAATACCATATGCAGCGGGGAAGAGAGAAAGCTGGGTAGCTGAATGAATGCAATAAACAAATTGCTTATTTTTAATTTCAGCTACACACAGACATGGATCCAGGAGTCAGTAAGATCAAGTACATCTTGTCAGGTGATGGCGCTGGGACTATCTTCGTGATCAATGACAAGACAGGTGACATCCATGCTATGAAAAGACTTGACCGGGAAGAAAAAGCAGAGTACACGTTGACTGCTCAAGCCGTCGATAGGGATACAAACAAACCACTTGAGCCTCCTTCGGAATTCATTATTAAGGTCCAAGATATTAATGACAACCCTCCAGAGTTTGTAGATGGCCCATATCATGCGACTGTTCCAGAAATGTCTCTTGTAGGTATGTATGACAGAATGAGATTTCCACATTTCTTCACAGAGCATTTTGCTCCTTCTTGCTTTTGCATTTCCGGATTTGTATTTGAGCGAGCTTCCTTTTCCAAACAATTATTTTTTTGTCCCTCTGAAAGATGAATAGTTGAACAATTAGGTTGTTTTGCATTACATCTCAGGTGTTGTGAGAATTAGTGTTGCTAAAGCTGTTTATCAATATTTATTCCAGCACATCTTGGTGATACCATTAGCGTCAGGTTAATATTTATCTATGGAGAATTTATTTATTTTCCTAGTTCATGTGCAGCACTTAGGATCTATGGTTACATGTTAACATCTCCTGTACGCCCACTTCTTTTGAAATATAATTAGCTCACAGTGGTTTTGTGAAAAATGTATCTGGAAGCAAAAAGTCCATTGTTGGATTTTACTCAATTAGCTGTTTGAACTAAGAGAAGGTAAAGCAAACTAAGAAGCACTGAAAACATAGGGGAGATAACTTAAGACTACATTGGGGACAAAATAAACCTGTCTCAGTGACCAAGAGACTGAGCTTATTGATCAGAAAGGTCATCAGTTCGAATCCCTAGCAACACATAACAGAGCGAGCTCCCATTACTTCCCCCAGCATCTGCCAACCTAGCAGTTCGAAAGCATGTAAAAATGCAAGTAGAAAAATAGGGAACACCTTTGGTGGGAAGGTAACAGCGTTAAGTGCACCTTCAGCATTTAGTCATGCCGACCACATGAGCAGGGTGACATCTTCAGACAGCACTGGCTGTTCGGCTTAAAAACTGAGCACCGCCCCCTAGAGTCGGGAACGACTAGCACATATGTGTGAGGGGAAACTTTATCGTTACTTTTAATGAAACTTTACATACCGGAATTTGTTGTTTGGTGAAAAGTCTTGCACACAGTTATGCAGAATAGGTTCTATTGTTGGGCAAAGTGACATCTGCTAACTGAAGTGGAGGGCATACTAACACAGTTAGAAATTGTGATAGACACAATGACTTATTTAGATGCAAATGTCCAGCTGACTTTTTTTTAAACTAGAGATAAATGCAAATGTCACTTCAAATTTACAGATAAATAACATGTTAAACTATGTGGCATATCAAATATGAACTGACCCATCAGTTTCCCTATGAATAAAAACTGCTTTATTTAGAGTACAGTGATCACTAATTAGTCTGAAAATACATTCTATGATCTTAAGCTTTCAGTTTAATCTACCTCAAGGAGGATGAAAGTTAAGATTTCAAATGCATCCTTGAGCTTTTGGTAGAAAATGAATATTAATTAAACTTCACAAATAAAGTCTGCTGCTTTATGGATCTTATTTGGCATTATAATAAAAGTGGACTGAATCATGCAGGTAAAGGTAAAGGCTCCCCTCGCACATATGTGCTAGTCATTCCCGACTCTAGGGGGCTGTGCTCATCTCCGTTTCAAAGCTGAAGAGCCAGCGCTGTCCGAAGACGTGTCCGTGGTCATGTGGCTGGCATGTTTAAATGCTGAAGGTGCACAGAACACTGTTACCTTCCCACCAAGGGTAGTCCCTATTTTTCTATTTGCATTTTTACATGTTTTTGAACCTCTAGGTTGGCAGAAGCTGGGACAAATAACAGGAGCTAATTCCGTAATGTGGCAATAGGGATATGAACCGCCGAACTGCCGACCTTCTGATCAACAAGCTCAGCAACTTAGCCACTGAGCCACCACGTTCCTCATGTATCATGTACACCCAGCTTTAAATCTCTACATTGTTGTGAAGGTAAATGATCAGGCTATTTTTTTTGTAGCCTGTTACTTCACAGAACTATTAGAATAAGTTGCAGAATATATAATTATATGACAGTGACAGATTGTGACACTTCAAATGAGAAATGAAATCACCCCACATTCCTCGCTATTCACCCTGCAAAGTAGGAACTGAAGAGGGTTTTGTGAAGCCCTGTTTACCATATCTTAGCTTGCTTTGCAAATTCTCTCTCTCTCTCTCTCTCTTTCTCTTTCTCTGTATTTGTGCCCGTAGACATTCTGAGGAAACCTTGTTTTATTTAAAGGTAGCCAACAATGTGACTTTCAGCAATTTCTATAAAGCTGTCAAGGCTATCTGCCCATAAATGTTTACTTGGAAAAATGCCTGGATGCTTTATTCTCAGTGTTGTGTCCTGTCTTGGATCTAAAAAAAACCCCACAATAGACTGTCCTATTGCAGTTTTAAAGCAGAAGTACCGCCATCCACATTGTGTGTGAGAGGCCAATGATGCTCTTTTTCTGTCCGCCAGCACAATCAACTCTAAAAAGAGGGACGTCTGTACTAACTGGAGTCGGCCCAGAAGCATTTGTAAAGTTGAGATTGAGCTGGCTTGTCAATTCCAGCTCTTCCATGGGTTTGAATGCCTTCGCTCCTTTCAACGGCTTCTGCCGAAATTGGCATAGCAGTTCTCCATTATTGTGCCGGTGTCCATGACTCAAATGTGTGCTTAATATGTTAAGCTCCTTTAATTATACCCCAGGGCACTGAAGGCCTATGGCTTAGGCATTTATATATTTTTGCCAGCATGTTGGCAAGAGAATGCAAACACTTGGCACTATGGAGAGAAAAGAACAAAGAACATGTGGAATGTTGGGTGAATGTTAATAATGGCTACAATTCAAAGCGAAGCATACGAAAGATAGCTTCCTGGGTAAGATGCTGATCGGTTAATGAAAAGTTTATTGAGTTAAGCTATACATTTCTATCATTTTATTTTTATTTTATTTTTTTAGTTTGTCAAACATGTACAAGATGACAGCTATAAATATAAACATGGACATGAACAAGGAAAATGAGTACAAATAAATGGGGACAGTAGGACAGGGATGGTAGGCACGCTGGTGTGCTTATGCACATCTCCTTTACAGACTTTTTAGGAATGGGGTGTAATCCACGGTAGACAATTTAAGATTGAAACTGTGGGGGTTTGAGGATGTAACAACAGAGTCAGGTAGAGCATTCCAGGCATTGACCACTCTGTTGCTGAGGTCATATTTTCTGCAATCAAGTTTGGAGCTCTTTACCTTGAGTTTGTATCTATTGTTTGCCCACATATTATTGAGGTCGAAGCTGAAGTAGTCCTTGACAGGTAGGGCATTGTAGCAGACAGTTTTGTGTACAATGCTTAGGTCAGACCATAGGCGGCATAGTTCCAGGTTATCCAAGCCCAAAATTTTGAGCCTGGTAGTGTAAGGGATTCTATTGTGAGCAGAGGAGTGGAGGACTCTTCTCGTGAAATACCTCTGGACCCATTCAATTGTATCAATGCCTGATATACAGTGTGGATTCCAGGCAGACAAGCTGTATTCAAGATTTTGTCTGGCAAAGGTTTTTTATGCCCAAGTTTGCAGTACAATGTTACTGCATAGAATAAGGTGTTTCTTGAAGCTCACAATATATATATTTTTTTTAAAAAAAAAAAAAAAACTTGGCAGGCAGTCTATGGAGGACATCACT